ACACCACTTAATCCTCACTAGGGTCATGGGGGGCTGGAGTCTATCCCAGCCGACTCAGGGTGAAGGCAGGGGACACCCTGGACAGGTCACCAGTCTATCACAGGGCTACACTTAGAGACAGACAACCAAGCACACTCACATTCACACCTACGGACAATTTAGAATCACCAATTAACCTCAACATGTTTTTGGACTGTGTGGGAGGAAGCTGGAGAACCCGGAGAGAACCCACACTGCACGGGGAGAACATGGAGACTCCACACAGAAAGATCCCGGTGTCCTCACCGGGACGCGAACCGACGACCTTCTAGCTGCGAGGCAACAGTGCTATCCACCGTTCCACCTTGCACCCCCACAACTAAAGATTAGGTGGGAAAAATTATAAGAAAAAATGTGCCTGTATATATGTGCATCCTGATAAAGCTTTATATATACAGTACAAGATCACAGATAATAGATCTCCCTGCTGATACATCAGACCACTCTACTAAAAAATGCTCAGAGGATGAAGTGAAGCAGAGAGTTGGCAAACATGAAAGAGAAAACTTCCCCTCATGTTTAAAACTGTGAATTTGCAGTAGATTTCAACACTGTTGAGCTTCCAGCAGAGTGACGACCCAGTCATGTTCGCACTGACAGACGGTGGAAGGTGAGGAATAAAAAAAAAAAAAAAAAGCTGCAGATAATGTTCCCTGTCTGCACTGGGAACTATAGGGGTGATGTCGAAACGCGATCCAGGTAGCTGGAGCTGAACATGTGGCTGCAGGTTGCTGGAACACACACCGGCAGGGAGTGTGTTTGAAGAAGGTGTGTGTGTGTGTGTGTGTGTGAGCTGACCTCGGTAATGGCCTGAGGTTTCTGCCCGGCAGCTCTGGATGTGTGATTGAAAACATGGACGTTTTCTTTCAGTCTCAATTTCAGGTTCAGTTGAGTCCAGAGATTCCAGAGACACTGAGTGACACATGGCAGCTTGCAGCAGAATCATGAAATGCTTTTCAACAAGTGGAAGCGATCCACGGGGGGCGTTACGTTTTCCACACATACTCATCCAGTGTAGCAGTGACTGATGAGCTGGAAACACAGCTGGTTCAGGACAAGAACATCAGGGCAGTTTTGTTTCCTGAAACTTTGCACTCTTTAAGATTCTGATCATCAGTTACAGCTCAGTTTTCATACGAAGCGAGCGTACCAGTCTGCAATTTGATTCGAAGGTGCCCTTAGACAGTAACTACCTGGAAGATGTGTGTGAGATGAGTAACCAGCGACGATGAAGCAAATAACGTTGATTTGTGGGATTCATTTCATGTCTGGCACAGAGTTCATTAGATTCAAATGGAATTCATGTTATTGTGGTCTTTCCAGTCAGAGCCTAATCCATCCTCATCCTCTGCTTTAAACACCCTACTACACTAAAGCAGTTACCTTTATTTCAGCATTAGATGAGCATATATTTGGATTTCTGCTATGATTTACGATGTCGCCAGATAGTGCTCAGTGCTCCATATTACCGCGCAGAGCGAATTACAACGAGCACTGGGTCTGTTGTAATATCTCCCCATAAGGCACGTTTGTAGATGCTTTTCTTGATGGAGTTTTGACTTTAGGATAAATATTTTAATACTTACTTATTTTTGTAAGTATGTGAGTAGATGGGCTACATCATATTTGCTCTAAAATTGTTTAAAAATGAAATCGTATAGCTCGATGTGAGACAATAGAGGGATCTGCATGAATCCTCTACTGTCTAATTTATTTCAGATATGCACTCCTTTCTGTTAATCTGACAACATCTGAACACGTTGGCTGCATGTGTGAATGAGCCCCCTGCTCACTTTTCTATAAAGGTCACGATGGTGATTTTACTAGTTTGGACCCAGTAACGTAGTATTACTTTCTGAACTGCATAGTGTCATAGTGGGGCTGCAGGGTGGCGCAGTTG